TGATTAATCACTATGCTTTAATTATGTTCAATTTGTAACAATGAAAATACATCCTGCATATCAGATACTTAGATGACGATTCCTAACAGTAGCAACATTACAGTTATGAAGTCGCAACGAAAGTAATTTCCTGGTTGGGGGTCACCACAACATGAGGAACTATATTAAAGGGCTGTGGCATTAGGAACGCCGAGAACCAATGCCCTAACAGAAGAGCTGTAAGTTGTCAGATGGAATGCCTTTCTAGAGACATAAGCAATTCATCCTGGGAATTGAGAAGGATGCGGAGAAAAGATGAGGAAAGTCACTCTTTCCTTGTCTCCTAGTGATGCAATGCCAAAGTACCGGGCAACTACAATGAATATCTGTCTTTAGAGCTGGGACAGTCTCAGACGAACCTCGCTGTTGTTGAGCTCAGTCAACTGCAGACAAACAATACCTTTACTGCGAATCAACCTTTACTGAGCCTCTGGGCCGGCTGGATGCACAGCAACCCTCAGAGTTTCTGTGGAGAGTGCCTGGGTGGCACACTTGGTTCTGTGCCAAAGGTGGGTGGTTGGAATCCACTCAGCGGTGCTTCAGAGCACAGGCCTGCCAATCCGCTTCTGAAAGGTCACAGCCTTGACGATGCTACGGTGCGGCTCTGCTCTGTGCACCCGGGCTTGCTAGGAGCCAGAGTCAACTCAACAGCAGCTAACAGCAATCTTACCGCAGTAGGTCCCGAGCTTTCTGTCTCGGTACTGTGGAGCGCACACAGAACCACCGACTCTCAGGGAGTAGTCAAGTATCATGTGACCTGTCTGTGCCGCTCAGAGACACCCTCACTGAGAACAGAAGGGGTAAGTAAAGTGGAGGGAGGAAATGAGCAGGTTTTAGAAGTCCATAAACTAAACTTAACTAAATGAAAGCTCCCCGGCCCCTTCTACCCAGAAAACACAAATAGCTCTCATCTAGCCCCCGAGAACTTTCAGTAAGATGGGAGTGGGGCAGAGGGGAGGTCGGAGGTTTGCCCTTCTGAGGACATTTCAGAAATCTGACAAACTGGATGGAAAGGGAATTCTGGGGAATAAGGTTTTCTGGCAAGCAAGCCTGAAGCTGCAATAAAACCCAGCGGTGTTTTTCAAACCCCAGGAGCCTTCCCTGCCAGCCACGCACGGTGCGGGCGAGGGCTCTGCATTCCCCAATTGTGAAAACATACGGCACAAACAAACAAACCGCGCGCCGCACACCTGGTGTGGACCTACCTGCCCGTGCGCGGGGCTGTACGTACCTCATAGCCAGGAAGGGACCTCACGGCCTCTACGACCGCCACGGACATCAGATGCTGCACAAAGGGGATCCGCTGCCCCAGCTGGGATTTCAGTGGGATGGAGACAAGCAGCGTCGAGATAGCACATCCCACAGGGCTCAGCCAGGCATTCCTTCCCCGGCCTGGAAAACAAGCCAAAGTGTGAGCAGGGCCTTGGAGCCATGCGCTCAAATAAACCCGGGCATCCTAGGGTTAACGCGATATGAGAGAAAAGCTTTTAAAGATCTGAAGCTCTGTAGCTCAGAAAGTTTCCAATAATTAGTATAATTTTCTGCCTCTGTGAGCAAATTACTTATACTTTGATGATTCGAAATCTCAGTGTTTGAACGTCACTCTCAGTTTCAATTTTCAACATATGGTGATACGGGAAAAAAGAAAGAAAGAAAAGGAGGCACTGGAGGAACTAGCTTGAGTCTAGGCAGACTCGAGTTACTTTTTTAGACGTCGTTCTTTGGATGGGGCTGGTTGTACAACTTTGTGGCTCTACCTATTAGTGCTTTAAACAGGTGAATGATATGGTGTGTGAGTTATATTTAACGAGAAACTGTAACCCTCTCCACCCCCCAAAAAAGTGATGCCTAGTATTAACTCTCTTAATTGCTATTTTTCTTATTAAAAAAGAAAGTCAAAGGGGGAGGAGTATACGGACCAAAATGAGAGTGTAACTAGTTAAAGATCTTCTATTTATGATTCATCTTTCTTTCTAATCCAGCATATTGAGCGCTACAGATTTGATAAAATGACATTTCTTTCCCTTATTTTGGAATTATGTCCAGAAGGCATATTCGAGAGAAAGAACGGGAAAACTGGGGAGCTTTGTTTCTTTACCTCTTCTAAGAACATCGTGAGAGCTGAGAGCGTGTTTCAGCCTGGTGCCAACCACCCTGCAGAGCCCTGCCGAGTGCCTCTGCTGATCCATCCACTGTCTGCCTCCTGCACAGACCACTGAGCAGGGAGCCCACCCACCAAGTAGATTCTGAGAGGATGCGGGCTCTTGCATTCAAGGATCAGCAGACAGTGGAAGCTCTCAGTGCAGTTCTACTTCTCGGTGGTCACTTCTGAAGAGACCTTGACCGAGTGACCAACCCAAACCTCAAATCACACCAGTTGCCTCTGAGTCAATTTCAACTCAGTAGAACTGTGACCTCCATTGTTTTCAATGACTGATTGCTTTAGAAGCAGACTGTCAGACTTTTCTTATGAGAACTTCCCTCTGGGTACATGTGAACTGGCAAACGGTTAGCAGTCAAGTCCCTTAGCCATTAGTGGCACCCAGGGACTCTCCCCTGAGTGCTTACTACATGCAAATTCCAGCACCAGCGGGGTGGTTTGGGAATGATAAGACTTAAGAGTCTTCTTGGCTGTCTGCTACACTGTGCCATCAGAAGGCAGCGCTGAGAACCACAGGGAAAGAAGCATGTCTATGACACACGTGGGATTGCCATGGTTCAGAAGTGACTAGACAGGCAGCAGAGGTTTGTGGTCTCTGTCTTCCTAATACCACAGCTGTGATTCACAAACTGCAGAGCCTGGAATGTGTCCCAAAGGAGTATTCACAAGATGTAGGTAAGCCAATGTGGAAGAATCTACAAGATGTAGGTAACCCACAAGCAAGCACCCGGCCATGAACACATGCTCCGGTTTGAGGAGAACACGCTCATTCTACCGCGGTTCCTTCTTTGGACCGTTCCTCCGTCTTGTTCCACTTTAGGAGGGGTACGGAAACAGAAAGTAATGCTCGCACCCTGCTATCCCAGTATCAGCATACACAATGGGCACTCTGACGAGCAGGTACACATTTCTAAACAGAAAACCCATGGCAACAGTAACAAAAGTCCCAGCTGACCTTGGCCTTGCGTCTGCTGGACTGCGATCGCTATTAAGCCCATTTCCTGCGGCGTCTTAAACATCAACCTGCAAACGGTGGGAAAGACTGGTCAGCCAGAACAGGGGAATCTGAGAGCAGGCAGCATACACAGCACGAACGGCACGGTTTACACTTGTTGGTGAATGTGTGATAAAGGCTCAGCACCACCCTGGTGGAGAACCTGTGGGAATGTAAATCCAGGAGGGCCCCCACCCCACACACACACACTGCAGAGCTGCTGGAGAGGAATCGAAAAGGTGCCATTTAATATCCAAAATGGAGCGTGTGTGTGTGGAGAGACAGGTATCTGCCTCGGCTCTTCGCTTACTGAAGACTTGGTTAGATTGTGCTTCCGCAGAATATTCCAAAAGGTTCTTCCACCCCCTAGCCCCGCACCAGTGTGCTGTCCCCCCTTCAAGTGACAACTCGCAATTCCTGACATTTGTTTCTACTTACAGTGTGTTGCTGTCCCTACACAGGCTTATAATCATAACAGCAGTTTCTGATTATTTAGAAAACCAATATGGTGGCAATAAAGCAGTTTAAAAGATACACTATCCCCTGAGAACTAATTATGTTTTAACTATAGTAACTTAATCTACACCTTCTGAGAACTCGGGAGAACCCTGGATTATTTTAGGTTTGAATTCTGCATTTAAAATGGTCTCACTGAAAAGAGTACAAACTTACCTTTGGGGGATAGGCAGAAAAGCACACTATAGCTCCACGGAGTGAGTCAACATTAACTTTTACTTATTTTTTTTAAAGCACAGTTAAGAAAGAAGGCAGGGTGGGGGGGAACCACCCTCCAAGTTCCACAGCTGCCTCTGGGCTAGGGCCATTTTTCTTTTGCTCAGGTACCAAGCAGATGTGCTTTGGGGAGGTCACTTAGTAAAGTAAAAAGGTTACGCTGGTGAGCCCATCCTACCGGAAATGCCCACATCTGTGTGCAGCTTGGAGGGCCTCTTCTCTCGCTGTCACAGAGTCAGTGCTGACTCATAGCGACCCCCCATCCGACCCCCTGACCCGTGGGTGTCTGAGATGCTAACTTTTTACAAGAGTAGAAAGCCCAGTCTTTCCCCCCAAGGAGCTGCTGGTGGTTTCGAAGTATTGACCATGTGGGTCTCACCCCGACATGTAACCATTACACCACCATGGCTCTTTGGAGGGCTTCTTAGAAACACTGTATGATTACTACCTATTATTATTTGGGGCAGGGAGCATGGGAGAGGGAAAGGGAGAGATGAGGATGTGATGGCATTGGGTCCGAGCATAAGCAACGACAGTTGCTAAGAAAGGCACTGAAGAATAACCCAGCTCCGATCCGGCCTGAAGGGGGTGAGCAACACTGCACAAAGGGTGGGGCCTCAGTAAGAGAGGCAGACTATGTAGAAGCGGAAAAAAGCAACACATCATGTTCCGTTTGCATCGGCCATGTGGCCCCACGCTCAGAGGAGCCCCAAGGACCCCAAAGGGCAGGCTGATTCGCTAAGATGAGCCCCAGTGCCCAGGGTAGGCGGCTTCTTGGCCAGTCGGCCGGCTGGCAGCTGATCCCTCACACTGGCCTGGAACGAGCATGGGGCATTCTCCGTGGCTGCGGTGCCAGCCCCACTTCCACCTCCCATGAAATACAGCTCCAGAAGGATTTCTCTTGGACACCATGAATAACGCATTGAGTGCCTAGACACTGCTGGGCTTGAAGCATAAAGCGTCCTTCTCTGGCATTGGGACTAGCAGAAACTCCTAAGAAGGACTCTTTGTTTGTGAGGGGAGCTGACATTGTCTTCTAGGAACCTCTGCCTCTAGGAGGCCCCAGCAGCCCCTTCGCCTGGACTTGGAAGGCTGCAGGGTCTCTGGTGGGGATGGCAAACAAACTCTCGGAGGAGGGAGATGATTTGGCATGTTGTGGGCAGATTGCTGCGGCTCTCTCTCTCTCAGTTCCTGGCAGTCAAGAGTCGAGGATGTTCCCCAAATAAACACGCAGACAGCAGACAGCTCTACGCTACAGCTAGCGAGGGAGGTGGTAGAGCTGGGGAGGGGAAGGGAGAGGGGTGGCTCAAAAAGGTCGGTTCAGAGACCAAACGCAGACTTCTAGAACAAAGAGGAATGATTAAGGGAACATATGCACTAAACGGCTAGGGGTTTGGCAGCAGTTAACAGGGCATATTAATGAGAAGACTAGATGGAGTCTGTGCTGCCGAAAGCCAAGAGGAAATTCTCCAGGAGGGAGACAGCGTGGGGAAGGAGGTAATGCTTGCTTGGAGACAACTGGAGGCCGGCAGATTTATTTGTGCTATCTGAGATAACTCTGGGGGCCAAACCACAGGGCTCCCGGTCAACAAAGAGGCATTTATGGACTTGGTGCAATGGTGTGTTTCTGTGAATGAGGTCGCTTGAGCTGCCTTAGCAGAAAGGAGAAACCATAAATGCATTTCCATCGTTGGTGGACGATGTCCTCAAAAAAGGAAGGAGGGGGAAAGGAAAAAGAGGGTTTACTGACTCTCGCCTCCCTGGTTGTGTATTTTCTTTCCTCACTGGCCAAGAGTGCAGACTAACAGGCTTGTGTGAGGGGCACCTGGAAACACTCACCATAGCACCGAGGGGGTCTGAAAGGGCTAGAACCCCTAAAGAGTCCCTCAGCAAAGAGACAGTGACATGACACTGTGGGAATTAGACACCACAGCCCCTGCTGGGCATGCCTCAGTTTCCCACGACGGGCTGGTTTTGCTTCAAGGCAATGGATCCACTGATGGTTGTAAAACGCAATGGATGGAATTGGTTTCACGCTGAACTGAGCACGTGAAAAAGTTAAATTGGCAAGTGCCATGTTCAATGCTCTTTTTACAACAACAACAAAGCCTCATTAATTGAAACTGGTTTAGTAAATAGATCAGTATGAATTCGTGAAAAATCTGAATGGATCTAAATCTAAATCCCATCTGTCAATCCACTTAGGGGACTTCAACGGAAGGAAATCACCTACATCCATGATGACGACTGTGTTAGAACTTGAATCTGGGGGTCTCTTTTCTCCTCGAGAATGGCTGTTAAAAGTAAAGATTTGGGCATAATCAAGTGTTCAGTAGGGAAATGGTTATGGGAATGATGGTACATGAAGCCAACGGAGTAATTAATAGTTATTCAAAATGATAGTTATGGAGACTCTAGCAACATGAGAAAAAAACTTGGAATAAAAGTTCAAGCAAAAATTGGGATACAAAAATATTCTATGCATATAAAGTTCTTAAACAAAATGATAATGGAGGCTATGTTAGGGCAATTTAAAATGTTTATTTTTCAGTTTTTCTGTTTATGATATTGGTTAACTTCCAATCTTAAAATTATTTTGAAATGTTTAGAAAACACTTATCTTTTACATTTAGATATAACAAGTATCCATCAGTTTTCCTAAGAATACAACTAAAAGATTGCCTCAAGAATAGATGAGTCCATAGCAGCGCTCTGGACTATTACACAGATAGTCCCTCTTCACAGTCTAACTGGGTTGGAATGGACGGAATTTAAGGCCATCTATTTTTTAATAATCGTTTGTACACATGTATTACAATCTACTTGTAAGTTTATATGTAGTGTTTCCAGTCACCCACAATGGGATGTATAAGGATACTGCTAATACAATCATAATGAAAACTTTAATAAATAATAATAATAATAATGAAAGGTATTTGACTTACATCAGAACTGACTTACAATGCAGTCATTGAAATGAAGCCTGGTCACAAGTCAGGGCATTACCTGCAAACCGTGATCAAGAACCTATCTGCCAGTAATGACGGAGCGGAACCCGGTAAAACCACTCTGCTTACACACAGTGGAGAGCTTTATGCATTGTCTTCTCTCTGACTCAGTGACTCTACTTCCAGGCTGAACATTAAGGAATATCCATATGAGAAGCAAAATAATTCTTATTTCTCACAGCACTATTGATATGCCGTGGCATGTTGGAAACAACCTAAATGGTCGAAGAGGATGAACGCGACACTCAGTGCCACAGCTCGGCACGTCACACGGCAGGGGAGGGGCAAGGCAGGGGAGGACAGTGTTTTGTCCTGATGGACACAGGGTGCCTATGAGTCGGATAGGAAAATAGAATTATGTGCATATATTTATAGGTTTAGTATTAAGGTAGCAGAAGGACATTGGGCTTCCATTCAAGTACTCCCTCCATGCAAGAATACTTTGTTCTATTAAACTGGCATTCTATGATGCTCACCTTCCTGACACAATCGCTCAAGATAATGTGGGTGAATAAGCAAATGTGGTGAAGAAAGCTGATGGTGCCTGGCTATCAAAAAGTATAGCATCTGGGGTCTTAAAGGCTTGACGGTCATCAAGCAGCCATCAAACTCAGAAGCAACAAAGCCCACATGGAAGAAGCACACCAGCCTGTGCGATCACGAGGTGTCAAAGGGATCAGGGATCAGGCATCATCACAACAAAAAAATCATATCATTGGGAATGAGGGGGAGTGCGGAGCGGAGACCCAGAGTCCATCTGTAGGCAATTGGACATCCCTTTATGGTAGGGTCACGGGGACGAGACGAGTCAGTCGGGGTGCAATGTAACAACAATGAATCATACAACTTTCTTCTAGTTCCTACATGCTTCCTCCCCCCTTCCCACTATCATGATCCCAATTCTATCTTATAAATCTGGCTAGACCAGAGGATGTACACTGGTACAGATAGGAACTGGAAACACATGGAATCCAGGATGGATGATCCCTCCAGGACCAGTGTTGAGAGTGGTGACACTGGGAGGGTGGAGGGTGGGTGGGATGGAAAGGGGGAACTGATTACAAGGATCTACATATAACCTCTTCCCTGGCCTGGGGGACGGACAACAGAAAAGTGGGTGAAGGGAGATGTCAGACAGTGCAAGATATGACAAAATAATAATTTATAAATTATCAAGGGTTCATGAGGGAGGGGGGAGCGGGGATGGAGGGAGAAAAAATGAGGAGCTGATGTCAGGGGCTTAAGTGGAGAGCAAATGTTTTGAGAATGATGAGGGCAATGAATGTACA